AATAATTGATTTTAAATCATTGTTATAATTTGCGAAGAAAAATGTTACATTTCAGTATAACTCAATGATCTTACCGATGTGACCTCCATCTTCTGGATTTCTCCTTCTATATTTTAGATAGGAGTCATTCCAATGTTCAAATTTAAATTTAATTTAAACCAAAGGAAAAAAATGTTCAGTGGAGGATTTGTGCCCCAATCAAAATTAAATATACTTATTCAATTACATTGGGTGATATAGTTTCAGAATATATATATATATATATATATATATATATATATATATATATACTTATCAAGGGTTATGGGTGTCTATATCCTAAACCCTAGGAGGAGTACGATAACAAACAGATATACACAGGTTATAATATTATATATATATATATATATATATATATATATATATATATATATATATATATATATATATATATATATATATATACATACATATATAGATGCTAACTTGCATTGTCATGTAGGAAAACAACGATTTTTTTTTTCTCCTTAGGAGAGCAGAGCTTTTCCGAACAAAATCTTCTGTACATGTTGTAAATCTTGGAGGTAGATGTGCATTTACAGTTTCGCTGTGTTTTAAGAAATCTAAATGAATTATACCATGACGAATAACCCACAGCGCACAACTTTACTTTTCTTGCATGGAGATCATCTTCTGGGGTTGATTGAAGAGATTTATGGAATCAAGCTTTTGCGTTGAACACTGTCGTACATAACCCATTATTCATTGTATGTTATATATCCTTTCAGAAGAGATCTGAAAGGATAATTGTTGCTATGGATAAACGGTATGTTTGGTTTTCGCTAAGAACGTGTGGAATCCAAGTTTATTGGCCTTACTTGTCCTTTTTGAGTTTCGGCATATGATAGACTGTGATATTTTTGTTTCCTAATTCCCAAGTAGTTCACTGCGGGCTACGTTCAACACAGGATTTTGAGCGTTCTAGTCAAAGTTTTCCCAAGGAAATTAAATTTCAACATTAAATTACCCATAAAGAGTTGATATGCCGTTAACCAACCAAACCAAGCGAAATCAAGTTCCTCTTATATGTCAGTTATGCGTTCTAGACCATAAAATATATATATATATATATTTTTTTCTAGATGTCACCATCGTCTCATATCGGCGAGCCAACCCTCATAAGATTATGTGCTGTAAATTCAATTTCAATCCATTTATTAGTCGGGGTAAGAATTTTATTAAATTTATTCTTCAGTCCTCTGTGTACGCTTGGAATTCCACTAAGGTAAGTTAATGTATTCCAAATTTATCTTTAATTGACGCGTATAAGTTCGGATAATATATTTATCATTACAATTGTTTCTGACTTAATCTAATAAAAAGCAACCTGTGAGCAAACTCAGAAGGTGAAGGAATCGAACGGCTTACAACCACATCATGTTGTAACACAATTTCCCGTAACAGCAACGTCAAGCCTGGTCACTACTAAGTTGTATGACCACTTGGCAATATCAGGTGCTGTAAGCTTGAATGTGCGGGTCATGTAATGGTTAATGGCTTGGATTTTGTAATCGGAACACCGAGTTTCAATTCTCGGTATGTTCGTTATATCCTCTTACGCGCAAATAGCCATGAAAAAGGTATTCACCTTTTCTCCAAATCCAGTTATGGGTTAATTATTAATACTTTTATCACTAAACCATTATTATCTAGAAGAAAGCAAAAAAAAGATGCAAGATTTCTAACAACCTAAAACATATTTTTCTGCAAAGGCTTGATGAGCTGTGAAAAAGAATTAGTCACCCAATAAAAGAAACAAAGGACATATTGAGTAGTCAGCTAGCATTTTTCTAACCTTTTACCGCCCAGTACTTCCGTGCAAATTTGGGAGGAGCTGCAACCGCCCCTGGTAAAACTCAAATGAATTTGAAAGACGAAATTTTGTGATACCATATCTCGTTGCCGCGGTAAAACCGAAGAAAGTTTTCTTAAAACATATGAAATTGTTATGTGCTGAAAGGCAATTATACGAGAAGGGTTAATACCAAAAAACCGTGGGAATAATTGATGATTTAATTTACACATAAACGACTTGAAATTTATGTCGAGCAGTTTGAACAATGGAAGGCGCAATGTTGATTGACACACAGCTGAAAATGCAAGCTGTAAAGCGGAAACTTCATTTTTCGTAAACGACGAATTTGGAGTTGATTCTTTTGGTCGAAAGTGATTCAAGTTAGGAGGGGGATGGATAAGCCACCTACGCTCACTGAGTGAGAGATCATGATATGAGAGATTGGGAGAAGTAAATTCCCCAAAATTATGTCCATATATACGAACGAGCGAAGTGAATTCGCCAGTAGGAGACGAGTCGCAGAAAAGAGAAGAGAGGCAAAAGAGACGGAGGCGAGATCAGAGACAGGAGAGAGGCCCATGTGATTATCTACCGAAGAAAGTCTCCGACTTCAGTCTTGTGCCAAACTTTACCAAAGCAGTAAACTAAACTTTGACAAGTCAACATCGATAGTATCACTTCCGATTTACACGCGGGTCGAGCTGACACTTATTGCATGTGAACTCTGATATATCCAATTATTTTACAAAAGTTTGATATAAACAGCCTTTCATTTTTGTTCAATTTATTCGTGAGTTATTTGTTTTCCTGTACGTCTTCGCCCTGCTTTGATCAGCCCAATACGAAGATAAGTTCGACGATCCCGTCTTGGCCTCCTTATGATCAAACTTAAATCACAACGTGGGATAAGGCAGGTCTAAGATCGAAATGATCTTCGTCGATCAGCCGTAGTGTTGATGTCTGCAACGACCGGAGAGGATGTTGTACGATTACAATTGCGATCATTGTTCAATCCGTGCGAATTGAAATGATGATATATAGTTTTTGTTCAACCTCTTTCGCTCTCACTCCTACTTTCAATATCGTCCCCCCCAAAAATGAAAGATCAACACATCCACCGTAACCAAAACGATTGGTTGTTTGATAAGTTGCCTGGCTTAACAATATGTCAGGACTTACTTTCATCATTTACTGTCAGACTGTTATCTTCACTTTTGTTGTTATTATCCCTACGTTTCACTCGTTATAACCCATGGCCTTCTTAATGAGTCTGTCGATTTCAAAATCGACATTTTATTTAATCTATGTTAGTAAAGGGTTCCCGTTCTGATGTGCATGTCTAGAGAAATTATTTTTTCTAATGTTCACTCAATACAACGACCAAGGATCGCTCAAGGCAGTTATGGTGCGGAGTTGTATTAGCGCATGCGTTGTAGTATACCTATAGACGATAATTGTTATGTCCGTCCCAATTCACATAAATACAATAGTAAATAATGTATTTTGGCCTGCAGATGGAGATTCGTCTCCTTCTGTGATGGCCAAAATCTCTGTCTCCGGAGACAGAGAGGGTCCCCAGACGAGGCTATGTCGAACGGCAGATGCTCGTCTCGGGAAACAGCTACCTGACGCCGTTTTATGTGGGTTCTACGGGGAATATTTGGCCGGCACTTAGGGCTCGGATACCCCACATTAAATTCGGCCTTGTGCCACATCTAACAGCGTGGGGCGGTTGCTATATATCCTGCATTTGGAGATTCATTGTGGGATTCAATTGACCCAATTCTAAAAGTTGACTACTACTTCTACGCGCCGCTGTTGAATCTTGTGTGTTGTTCCTGTCCTAAGTTTTATCGTTCATAACCAACGTTCGTACTGATTATTCTATTCAGTAACCTTCCCTAGGTTACAGCAGTAAGAAAGGGCAAGATAGACAGCTTATTGCCAATGTTCAGGCGGAGACGTTAGAATTATAGAGTTGAATTAGACTTTAGATGGAAACAGAAAGACCATTTGTAAACAGAAAACAAACGCTAAAACTTTCCTTTTATCATTTTTAGCATTGTTTCGGTTTTTATTTTAATTATTTCACATGTAAGGCGATAATGCGACAAAGACGCAAAGGGTTACCGTGTGTGGAAGAGAATGAGGCTTTAGTGAGGAGAAAGGACAATAAAAGAACAGGTTTCAGATAGAGAGAAGATGAGGCAATTAAGATTTTTCACACTGTAAATTACAGAGAAACAAGATATCGGAATAGTGCTTCAGACGTTAGAATAGAACTTACAGTTACATCTATCTAAACCAAAAGTAAAACGAAGAAATCTAGTTGCCAATCTGCTACTACACGTAAAGTCATGCAATCAGAGTATCAGCGAAGAGAGCTCATTAGAACAACTGCTATGAAAATATTTAGTTGAAGATCACACTGTTTCCACTGAGTCGAGAGAAATGAATAAAAATTCATAATTTAGACTAATGCAACGGATTACATTTACATATTTTGGATCTAGATTTTATTAGATTAAGAAGTTTCGTGGATAAGTAAATTTAAAGTAATTGTAGATAAGTAAACTGACAATAGGCGAAAGAAAGTTTATGATACGTCATGCTATATTTGCATTATTTACTGTCGGACTGAGGCCCTTACATTTATGTTATTATCAGAACACTTCGGCCGTTGTGCCCCTCGGCCTTTCGAATGTGTTTGTCGATCCGGGCAAGGAAACTTCAAGTGGACACTTTATTTAATCTACTTTAATAAATTGTTTGCGTTCCACTGTTCGCGTTTGGAGATATCACATTTTCTTCTATTTAACCTTGGCTTGCCCATTGCGAGTCCCGATTCCAAAGAATCGGAATCGAGACTGTATTTTAAATAGAGATCTACAGAGCGCTTACTGCAGGAAATGGTGGGCAAAAATAACGACTTTCGTCCTTACTGCCAGTTTTTATGACTTTGCCCTATGGCCATTGAGGCACATTTTGGAAATATGGCGATTTCTGCTATGGATTTAATAGCTGTCTATTTTCGTCAAGGATTTTCCAAAAAAAAAAAATATATATATATATATATATATATATATATATATATATATATATATATATATATATATATATATCAACGGACGTGGGCACATTCTTAAAACAATGAAAAAAATCATGTTTATGCTGGTTCACGTACGATCACCGAAGTTAAGCAACGTCAGTCGTGGTTAGTACCTGGATGGGTGACCGCTTGGGAATATAAGGTCCTGTAAGCTTGGATGTGCGTGTTGTGTAATGGATTAGAATTGGCACTCGGAGAGCCTGGTTCAAACTCCAGTCGTGTTCGCTATATTCAAAGTATGAATCCGTCTGTTCACCTTCCATTTATGAGTTAATTAATATGTCTTATATCAGTATTACAATATTTTTTTCTCTTAAACATTTTTACAATCAAAACATATTTTTTGTCAATAATGTTTCGGGAAGGTAAAAGATGCCGACAGATCTTGAAGTTAATCTTTTAAGTGGTAGGAAGAACAAAATCGGAGTTCTAATTCCAGTCGGGTTCATTATATACACTTAAGCATAAATAATCTCATGAAAGGTATGAATTTACTTCCTTACCTGTCAGTTAGATAATATGAATAAGACTCACGGAGTTACAAGCAGTGGAAGAGAATGAGAAGAATTTAGATAGGAGAAAGGGAACAATAGTTTTTACGAAGACAGAAGATGGCGATTGACTTTGCTGTTATGTGCTACAGAAGAATGAAATCAGTGAACCAAGTTCTAATTCCAGTCCGGTTTCTTATATTCAATTAAAAGTAAATACACTTGAGAAAGGTATGAATTTACCTGCTCAGCTCCACGCTATGTGTTAATTAGTCGCTCTTATACCTGTAAATCAATATTGTTCCCCAGACATTTTTTAGAATCTAAAAATATTATCTGGCTTCAAACGATATCTTTGATAATATAATCGCTATTTATTCTCATCTCTATCTAATGATATCGTAAAACCGCACAGATTTGGACAGATTATGAAACTGTTTTCAAAGTAATATAATATACTATTAATAAAATATAATTATAATATATTATACTACTAATATGCAATCAACTGCATTAACTTTAAATTTTAAAAAGATGCATTTTTCGCCATGAAGAAATATTAATAAACAGTGGGTGAAAAATAAAATGTATCTATTTTAAATTTATATGCGTACACCCCTTTATTGAAGAGGCAATACTAAATGTGGAATATTAAACACGTTCTGTGATTCTAAGGCATTCGACTCAATTTTTCTACCCAATCAAGTAGAATTCCTTAGAATCACAGCAGTCTCTAATAATATAGAAATCTATATTTTATATATCTATGAAAATGGAAATAATGTTCTATTCTCTTCGATGTTCCATTTCTATTTCGAACCCTCAATTATGTTTCTGATACCATTAATCAAATTATAAATGTCCTTTGTTGGACATAGGCTTTTCCCAGAGCACATCATCTTTGCCATTCATGAGAAGCAATAGGCCATTATCCTGCAGTGTTGGCCCGTTAGTAGCAGATATGACACGCTTGGGCGAGCATGTCTCTTGTCGATTCCTGATTAATATGACGAAAGAATTCCCGCAGTAAATTGGCATTTCATTCTGCAGTAGACTGGTCGACAAGCAAGGATATAGAAACGAGTCTGTACCATTATTTAACCCATTTCTTATTCCGAGCCGTTATCCATGAAACTACCCATACATTGAAGGTATTCCTAATCCGTCACCGATGTTCTTACTGAACAGACTCAACGTTGCTTACCCTCGGTGATCAGACGAGAACCGGTGGGATATTGTGCTAAGCACTAAATTCTGATTAACTTCTTAATTATTAATAAAATATTTAGATATTTTTGTAAGATTGGATGTATAAGAATGGAGATCAAGAATACTGAACGGTTATGTACTCTTATATGGTAGGGCTTGCTAGACACTCTCCACGTAGATGTGGATAGGCTTGAAGCAACGCTAATGGGGTTCTACAGAAAGATACTGAGAATACCAGGGACAGAATATGTTAGCTACGACAAAGATTAAGAGAAAATGGAAACAACATGATAATTATACTTAATATCAAGAAGAGACAGATGAAATTTCCACGGCGCATAATGAGGAAAGGAGGCTTGGAAAATTTGATACTCAAAGGGCAGATTGAAGACAAGAGGCAAACCGAGTTTGTGTAAATGGATTGCGGAACACGTTTTAGGAGAGATAACAAAATGATAGCTAATATTCTTTCTTTTGTGTGTCGTGTCCCTAGGCGAACATGGCTCTCCACTTCTTCCGATCGCTTGTAGTTCTCAATATGATTTGTCCATTTGCTTTTTCTCCCAGACCCTCTTCTGTTATTCACTTGCTTAATTCAGCTATGTATGTCATGCGTAGCTTTCCCTTGTCTCTTTCCTTATATCAACCCTGTGAGTATCAGTTTTTTCAAGCCTTCCTTCCTCATTAACGTGTCCCAGAAATTTCATCTGCCTCTTCCCCGATATTTAATATAAGCGTCCTCCTTGTTTGTATCCTCTTCAAAACCCCATCTTTGCTCACATGTTAAGTTAATATTAAGAGCTACAAAAGACAGGAAATTGAAGACCGACATGATCGTCAACTTCCAGAAGTGAAACTGCACATAGAGGAGGAAGTGTATTAATGTTTTCATGGCTTTAAATTATTATTCTTGATTAGGTTAGCAAACGCTGAAAATATAGAAGTTTGAGAATAGTAAAGTCCTTTAGGTTGTCAAGAATGTTCTGTCCTTCGTTTCAGTTTGCTTGCAAACATAGTTTTGCATAAAATTCTTCGAGGTATTAATATTCTTTTCTTCGCTTTCGGTTACCTTGGCAGCAAGATTTATAGGATTGCGTGAGACATGGAATGAGAGGTCTCGAAAGACATTATCTTTCAAGATGGCTCTTCAAACGCCTAAGAATGATAACTCTTTCGAAGGAAACAAGGAGATTAAGGTGGATGAATGATTATTCCCAGCCGAATGCCTCTATGAATATATTTGATCACACAAGCGAAATGATAACGGACATTGTCCTGATGAAGAATCCCTCTTATTCTGTTGGTGGCGTGTTCTGTTCAGAGCGCTTCTTTCTCAAGCACCGAAGTTGTTTAACAAAAACACCCATCAGTGGCTGTTAAGTTATCGTTTAAAGTTCATAATGGCTGATTTTTATCTCACTAAAAAAAAATCAACAAGATTAAATTTGTATTCTTTTAAATCTAGTTTGTCTTAATATTGAAGGGTGATATCGCTTAGCATTTTGTAAAAATAGTCCATTCCTTGTCCCAATATCAATATATCTCTTGGATTCCTCGAAAATGCAAAAAAAATCACCACGTCACTGAAAATTTGCGAAGTGAATATTGATCCGTAACGATATCCTTGTGCCAGTTAATAAAATATGAATCTTTCATATTTAATATTTCAGTTTAATTATCTCCGATATTTTTTAAGCACTTCACCCCAAGCAAGGCGGGAGTGCCACTAGCACACATTGGGGTTGCAGAGGGTAGAGAGCAAGAGTAAAGAGGCGTGTTTAAGAAAAGGATAAATAAAATCAAAGTATCAGATGCCGATTAACATTACACTTGAATATTCGAAGATTATAGTTATCAAGAAAGCAGTTAAGAGGAAGGGAGTTCCACAGACGGGAAGTCTCGCACTTCCCGTCTGTGGAACTCCCTTCTGAAGAAGCTGTTTGAGTAGAATAGACGGTTACATTTAACCGTTTCGACATTGACAAGTGGGACCGAAATGCCAACCTAGTAACTCGCTTAAATTCATACAATTTGGGAACCAGCGAAAGCAACTCGTCGGAACAGTTACCGTGAAAATATTTTTAGAAGAGACAGAAGGAAGCCACGGTGCATCTGGGAGAAAGTGACTGCAGACAAAATCAGGACTTATCACATTGCATATCTCTCTCTGGATTTTGTCGAGGACATCGAGACATAGAGCACCAAACCATATATGTCGGCAATATTCCATTGTGTCTAGGTACGTGTTCTAGCACATATCAGCGGTCGAAAATTTACATCACAAAGAATTGTTGGTCCTGCTGGCTAACCTTGACATATTTAGGGCAGAATTAGACAAATCCAGAAAAAGCAAATCGCATACATACGGATAGAAAAGAAAATTCAGTAAATATACAAAAATAGAAAGGAGTGTAAGACAATATGTCTTCTCATCGGACTTATTCAACCTATAAATTGAGCCGATTCTGAGAGAACTAGTATTCCTACGAAGATGAAATATTGCCGTCATAACATCATAAGATATTCAAATGGCACTGTGTTGATAGCAGACACAGAAATACACATCACTCACCCAATGGCTTTAAAAATATTAAAATGAAATAGTAACGGTCCTGCTAATAACTGCAGTCTTTGAAACAACATGAAAAAGAATTCGCGAGAGATTAAAAGAATATCATAATCACGAACACCGTAACCCCTTACAGTCGTAGGAACACCTCATATATTGCAGCCATTGTAGCTGTGTTGTTTCCTGGACAAAGATAGCCTGACTAAACCTAACTCTCTCGAGACGGTTTTTGAATTCAGAACTGGTTGTATAGTTATGCTATAACGCAAACCTCCTTCCATCGCATAGAATATCTATACAGTGCATACTAAAAGAACTTTTACAGAAGCCAGTGAAGGAAAACAAAAAAAATGACTAAACATCAAATCCAAGAAGACATATTGCATGGTTATTGACAAAAGGAACAACATAACATGCAAATTACAAGTCAGGGATACCGAAATCAAAAAAAGTACAGCAATTTAACTAACTGGGAATTGTTTTAACGGGGGTCGGAAAGTACGACCTTGGAATCCGAAAGTGGATTGAAATAGCGAAAGAGACCTTCCAAAAGTTAAACAAAATATTAAGAAATAAGAACATTTCGTTAGAAACAATGAAAAGAGTACTGAACCGTTTCGTAATATCCGCCCTCGTAAATGATAATGAATGCTGGATAATCTCACAGATGAAGGAGAGACTAGAAGTAACAAAAATGTTATTCTACAGAAAGATGCTGAGAATACCATAGACCGAACATGTGAATAATGAGGAAGTTTTATAGAAAGTAGAAACAAAAACAACACTTATTCTTAACATCATAAGCGACATTTGCATTTTCTAGGATACATAATGAGGTCTTGTACAATTTGATACTCACGAGGCAGATTGAAGTTAAGGGGC